GCCGCAAGATGCTCCGAAGGATATTTTAGATGACCGCCTTTCTGCAAGGCGCGTTCCTCTGATTCTGGCTTCCAAATTTGATCACAGTTTTGCCCATTTGGAATCCATCAAAATGTACAAAATAGACGTCTCTCGACTAATCGATGATTTAATCTCGAACGCATACAACAACTCCTTAATTATGCAAGATATAATAACTGATCTATCAGATTCTACCGTTAGACGCTGGAAACCTTCGCTTGCGAGACTGTTAAAAATCGCATTTAGTGAATGTCGAATAGTAGCTGAACGCATTTATTATAGAGACCGTCTAGTAGTCCCACCAGACAAGGAGGAAATCCAACTTCGGGTACTTCACAGAGCACACTATTCAGGAGTCGCCGGACACCCAGGAAGAGAAAGAACTATTGACTTAATAAATAGAACGTACTGGTGGCCCGGTATGATAGACGCTGCAAGGAAGTTTTGCAAAGGCTGTCTCCTTTGCACTAAAACTAAGACACCCTGAAAAGCTCCTACTGGTCTGCTAAAACCACTACCATTACCATTTAAATCATGGTCTGATATTTCCATCGACTATACATCACCATTGCCAGAATGTGAAGTTCGACATCGAGAATTCCGACACATTGCTGTTGTTGCAGATCGACTTACAAAAATGCGTCACTTTCTTCCAACGGAGACTCTATCCGCAGAGGAGCTGGCCGAAATTTTATCGAAAAAATTTGGTCGCTGCATGGTTCACCAGAGCGGATTGTCTCCGATCGAGGGTCTCCATTTATCTCCACATTCTGGAAATCTCTATCCCAAAGACTGGGAACTGTTCTCAAGCCCTCTTCTGCATATTACCCAGAAACGAATGGACAAACAGAGCGGGTCAATGCTGAAGTAGAACAATTTCTACGAATTTATGTAAACTGGGCTCAAGATGACTGGGCTTTGTGGCTGCCACTAGCTGAATTCGCGGGAAATAATGCTATATCCTCAACAACAGGGGTTAGTCCGGAGGACAAAGGCTGAACACCTGTCAGTGGTGTACTCTACGAATCTGGGAGTGAAATATTCTCTCAGAGCCGAGATTCAGTCACGAAAAAGCGTGGGATGCATTTTTTTTGATAGATTTTCGACTTGAAGGAGTTGCACTCGATATTTTGGTCGATAAATCAGTCGAAAGAGATTTCACAGCCGGAACAAAGTCGAACAAAAACTCATCACCACTAACATACGATTCACGAATGGATTTAGGTCTGTCTGGGGGTCGTATTCAAACATCCGACATCTCTCAAACTCCCTTTATACTTGCGACGAAGCATTTCTCAATCGATCCTACACCTGCGGCCTACCTCCATACCCGTCTAATCACCTACCTACACACGCCCTAATGAGGAGAGTCATGATGGAAACGGGACGTGTAAAAAAGAAGGAAGAAGAGGTAAGATACACCGAGGGGATTACACAAATCCCCAATGACGAAAACAACCCAACGGTAAGATATGAAGGTGCAAGGCTGGAGCAACGATGAAATCTTGGACGGCATTTATATTTCGGAGTCAATGAGGATGTCAAGGGCTCGGGCGTGTGGTGGCCGAGGCAGAGGAGGAAATTGCGCTACGGCGTGAATACAGCGGGTTTCTGGACGGTTAGGCTTGGTATGATTCAACACATAGGTGAAGTCTGAGGTGGTCCAGTCATTAAAGTGGGACGAGTTTTATCTGTACTTAACGGTAGTTAACCTGATCCGGCCCAACCCCACACTTGCTTAAGCTCCAATAGGAGTGCAACGGTAGCCATGTAACCTAGTATGTTAATGAACAAAACAAAAACAGGGGTTAGTCCTTTCTTTGCCAATTATGGTTACAATCCAATGTTGGGCATTGAAGCTCAAATACCAGCAGCCCCAATGCCATCGGAAGCTCGGCGGAGAGAATATTTTAAGGCTCATGAGATAGCTAATAGATTTAAAGCCATTCTTGATCGCGTTAAGACCTTTCCCAAGATTTCTCAAGACCGTTGTGAAAAAAATGCAAATTTGCATCGTTCGGACGCACCAAAATATCATATTGGAGCTATGGTTATGATACGCACTCAGAACTGGAAAATGGGGCGACCTCTTGAAAACTCAACCCACGATGGGAAGGTCCATTTCGTATCACAAGAACCTCGCCACACACCGTAACGGTAGATCTACCACGAAATATAAATGTTTATCCAACTTCTCACGTCTCTAACGTTCAATTAAGGTCGAGTGAGCGAGCACCAGGGCAAGAAGACGAGGATATAAAAGCAAGTGAGGGCAGAATAATTGTAAGAACAGATGGCCAGAGAGATGTGGTAGAATATCACTTCGATAAAATTGTAGGATACGAAAAGATGCAAAATAATCGTCGGTACGATCAAGTTCAGTGGACTGCAGGCGACACAACTTGGGAACCTGCATCGCATTTAAAGGGGTGTGATGACGCACTCTGGAAGTTTCATAAACAAAATCCACAAGCAGGAGCACCACGGCCATGGCTAAAACGCAAGTGAGAGTGTTATCTTTTTATCTAATTGCTTCTCTTTATCTTTTTTTTTTCTCATCGTACAAGAGTGAAGCTCTTGTTTAAGGGGAAGGTAGCGTCACAGGGGCATCTAGTTTGGGCGTAATCACGTGAGAATTATGGCGTAACTCTAAGCGAGGATACTTAGATTTAGATCTCTGCTTATGAGGTTGTTTCATTCCTTGTGCAATTACAATTATCTATTCTGAACACCCGAGTATTTATACAACGCCAGCCCGTGATATGCATGCAGGCTTCAATCAGCATTGATTGTGCTCTTCGTAGAATGACTTTGTTGGAGGCTTCCGCTGCTCTATTCTGCTCCGGTGTACATGGTGCCGAAGTATCTGTGCGGATACCATATTTGTCACTGTCACAGACCGGCTTTCCCACGAGGAAAACGGCATGCTTGTTACTACCATTGTGCCATGGGCTAATGCTGAGATGCTGCGTTTAGTCTGGTCAACCAATTCAGGAACTTCCCTAGTAATATAGTCAATGCGTTGCGATGGTTACAATGTTATGATAGCAACAGTTACTAATCAACATAAGCAATCAGTTGCTGTGTTATAGCTGTAGACTACCATACCCCTGATTGTAGTAGCCGCTCTTGAGTACTTAATGAAGGTCTAGGGCCGGGTTTGTTCCGTAGCCTTTCGTCTTGTAATTATTCTAGATTTTAGATTGATCCGATTATTATAAGCTTTACCTTAAACCCCGACTCCATCCCATTCCGCCTCCGTCTTGTCTCGCCTTCGTCCCGTTCCGATCACATCCTATCCCGACTACATTGGTCCCGACACCATCCCATTCCGACCCGTGTCCTCCGAACTAAGCCAACGATCCTCACAGTCACAGTATCCCTGTATGCGAGTTAATCGGAGCCTCCGTCCTTGAAGACTGTCCGGACTCTTTTGCCACACTGTTGTTATGAAATTGTAAAATGTAATCTAGATGTGGTGGTGCAGGGGTTATTTTCTTCATTCGGGGGGGGTTTTTTTTTGCATCGAATTTTAATTGCGTATGCAGCCATATAGCAATGACACAATATCAAATAAAATGCAGAATATATGATTCAACGTAAGGGAAGAGCACTCATGCCTCAGATTTCATTTGCAAGTACCACTGCGAAGTTATGGCGGCTTCTTCTTCACCCCAAGTCAGCCCTCATCCGTGAATACCCACTCACGGGAACGTCTCAAAACCCCTGAGTTAACCGGACACGCCTTCATCATCTTTCAACTTTTCTCCACGCAAAATATGGTCTGAGGCGTCTCCTTCTCAAGTGGAGTAGGTGCCCAGGCTACTCAAACTATACCGGAGAACACCACCAGGAGACGGACCATAACACCTTCCATCGTCGGCTTGTTTTTATAGTGTCAGCTGCACTCTCGCAAGCGAAGTCTTGGCGCGGACGATGCTCTTCAATTTAAAAAACTCGCCAAAATTCGAAATCTCACACCCGTCGAGATCGTACTCTTCCTTTGCACAATGTTGTATAACCGTCCTGGTTTCCCTCGCGCACATCCCACAGAATTATCTCTCAAATTTGTGCGCCACGGATTTTGTCATCCTACGGAAATAAATATCAGCGTAACTGTGTATTTGGTGGCCAGCTGAGTGTCACGGGATCAAGTACCATATTAGGTTAGTGTGAAGTTTGTTTGTTTACTTGGTTGTTTATTGTATACATAGACATCTTTTACCCTCCCGTCTTACAACACAGTCATATTCTCCTTACCTATCCTGATTACTCACCCTTGTGACTTATTCCTGTTACGCATCCAGCAGACCAGATCCACCGTTGTGACACTGAGGCCAGAAAACAGTCGATTGGAGGGATGGTCATTAAATTTTGTTGAAGATCGGTCTCGTTGGCAAGGATAAATTGCTTTTCAAGAGTCTTGGATCATTTCCTCGTGGGCCAACTTTTTCGAAGTGCGAAATGCGAAGTCACAAATGAACTCGATTCTGGGATAGGATTTCACCCCCAGGTTTGTAGAGGACACCGCGCACAGATATTTTGTCTTTGACCTCTTTGACAAGGTGACGTGTTAGGACAAAAATGGATAATAATAAGGTGACGTAGATGACTCATCGGAAGAGTCAAACTTCCCTTTTTTATCAGGTATGTGGCTCCTGGTCACTGTACATAATGCCGGATATCGCTTCCAGAATTGCGCACGTCCCAGCCACCATAACCATGTGTGCTAGAGCGGCAGCAGACTAAGATGAGTTCAAATTGTGTTATTACATTAAAATTATAGCTAGTACGGCTTAATAACCTTTTGTAGGCGATGTTGCCTCTACAATAAGTTATTGAGACTTGGCACCCGCCAATTCAGGCTCAGAAATACATTACATAATTCGTTCAAGGGGGTATCATACACGCCAAGAAAAGTCCACTTACGCCCACCAATTTTACCCCAGTCTGACCCGGACCAGCCGACGCTAGTACACTCAAGCAACTCGAATAATTACTCGCCATCCCAATGCCCCCGCTTCCCGAATTGAACACGCCAGACAGCCTCGTCCTCGTCTACTGACTAATGCGTTCCATCCTCTCTCGGCGCATATAGCCCTTGCTATCATTTCCACGTGACTACCATATCCGTCACCATCCAAGCTGGACCTCGGGCGTAACTGTTGCTCAGTGCAGTCAATGACCAGAACCCTAGGAATTGAGGATGATGTTGTGTGGAGAGATGACTGGGATGGATCTGACGATACGGGTACGGTGAGAAGGGAAGAAAATCGTGCTGATGAGTGGGTTCCGAGTAAATGCGAAAGAGGAATTTTGGTGTATGTGTAAGCCTTGTGTAGTGGATGTCCTGTAAGTGCCATAGATGTTAGAAAAGATACACTAACAGGTTAGAAGTAGTGTATCTTGCAACATACCAGATGAAATGTTCGGAATTTTTGGAGTACCTAGTGTGGGACTTTGAAATGCTGGGTTCGTCGGAGAACTAAGAATTCCAGTGTTGGGCGGTGAAATACAAGGATGAGCCGTCACAAATTGAACGTTGTAGTTCAACTCGATCTCTAATGTCTTAGGGGTGGCACCAGCACGTTCGTAAGTGAAACGCATCAATGGTGTGAGAGGTTGTGATTTTTCTGTACCGGTAACGGTATAATTTAGAGTTCCCTCGAGCCTATTACGTGTACTACTGCGAACTGAATCCCTTGATGGGAGTAGATATAGAGATTTGAAGTTGACATCAACGTAAGTAGCAGCCAATTGATCTGATGGTTGCGCGAAGTCACCCGTGAGGACTGAGGAGATATCTGCACCGGCGATGACATTGCTATGATTCTCAATTGTTGTTGCATGCCATATGCGGGGTGATGTCCCGATTTTTTTAAACTGGTCTACAGATTTGAAGATTAATTCCTGTGCTGCTTCAATAGGTCTGGCACTTACCAAGGGATCGAGGTTTTGCGTCGACATCAAGCCAACCTTCGTCTATGCCTCGTGGCAAAACGCTTGAGGATACCCATCCCATGCATTCCGAAGCACCTTCGCTTGAAGCAAGAACCTTTCCAACAATGCATGCACTTCTCCAAAAACTTCGGCCCGAATATATAAGGCCACCCTTGAGGTCTTCGAGGCTACCCAACTTGGAGAGAGCTCTCTCATCATTCTGTACCAAGGTTAATAGCAGGGCATGAATGAAAGTCTCGCCGGGAAGAATGAGGCCATTAAAATATGCCTCAGAGATCCATTTTCCGACGTCAAGTTTGGAAGATTTGTGTGAGGAACTGAAAGGTTTGATCGATAGAGGCTCTAGTAGAGAGGAGCTGGAAAGAGACCTGGTAGATACGACAGTAGATGAATCTAAAGCGCTGATAGTTGCCGATGTGATGCTTATAGCATTAGCCTCGAGTTTCTCCCACTCGGGCCACTTAATCGCCTGTGCAAATCTCATGAGTCCAGTGAGCTGCCGTATTTGATGTCTTCCCTGGAATCCAATTTGGCTGAAAGATTGCCCAAAGGCTTCAGGGAAGGTACTCCATTCAAATTTCTGGCTCGAGGTATGAAATGGTTGTGACTTCACGGAATAATCGTTTTGGTCAGCTTTCTCCACAATACAAATATTTTTGAGCCAAGCTTTGGCAAGGAATAGAGTATATTTGACGCCTTTCGTCCATTTTATTTTAAGATTCTTAAATCCGGCTGCAGGGTTAGACGAATTGTGATAAATTAACGCATCCAGTCGAAGTAGCATTTCGCAACCAAGCAATACTTGAAGTAAGAGCCAGTACTTAGTAGATGATACATCTTCTGTATTACTGACAGTAGGAGACAGATTATAGCTTCCATTAACATTTTTTGTTGATCCCCATAAAATTTGGCCAAGTTGGATCTGCATATCGACATTACTGAAATCCATCCATACATGGGGAAAAGAAAGCACTTGAAATAGGCAGTAAATCTGAAACTCAAGACTACGCGGATCATCAGCGTCGGAAATACCAATCGGCGGATATAGAACATTGGTAAATAATTCGTGATGCAATTCAGTAGGTGACTTATTGAGTGTTGGTGGTAAATCGTGGCATTTTTCACTCAAGCTGCGAATTCTGTTGATGAGCGTTGCCCATGTGAGTGATCTCAGGACCCCCTTTTCTCTCATCAACACAATGCGGTGCTGAGAAATCATTTCGCTCGACACATTATTTGATGTGGGAAGAGAGTCGCCAACAGAAATTTCAAGAGCTGATCGAAACCCTGTAGTTCCTCTTTCGAGACCTTGCAAACTCAACATATCTGGTAATTCTCGTACGAGAGGCGTTATTCGTGGTTTAGACATGGGGTCAGACAGAGAGTTTTCTTTCCTGGTTGTATTGGTGGGAACAGAAAGTAGAGACGATGAGGACACACAAGCCCATGATGGATCATTCACCGTGGTATGGTCGCAGAGATCGCTGACATGCACTTGAGAGTCCCAAGGGAACGCTACATATGGTTGAGGAGGACAAGCTTGGTGTTGGGACTGGGCAAAAGTGTTTGCCAGGAAGTGAGGCGCGCCAGAAAATATGTCATATAGGTCAGCTATAGATAGTGGTGTTATGATGCGGTTGAGCTTGAGAGGCGGTTTAAGGTCTGGCTTTTGAGAATTTGATTTGAGTCTTTCATCGTTTTCAGAAGGAGGGATTGGCGGTAACGGTTTATCCTTCGGAGATGTTCGACAGTGTGAGTAGAGTGTCGGGGATAGAGGTGAGAGTGGTGCCTTTGCTACTTGTCAGTTATAACTTTTACTAAAGTTCACAGTCCACTTGAGACATGTTGAAAACTGTGACTAGTGGGGAGGAATAATTACCCGGCATTGGGAAACCTTTTCACAATTTACCCTAACTTTAGAGGGGTGATTTGATTTTTTAAGAAGCTTATTAAAATATCCGCGTCGGGAAACCTGATGCAGCTTTATTGGGCCATCTGGTTCAGCGTGGCGCCCATGCCAACCGACTTCCATTCGCCGAAATATTTCAAGATTAAGTTTAGAACAAGATTAACGGTGTTACCGGTTGAAGAGATTGAGTGGGAGAGCAGAAGTTCCTGATTGTTCAATGTCAGGATACAGGAGCCGGTAGACGAATCTTGATAGAAATAGAAAGCACCGATGAGCTGATGAGCTGGTATTAACATCGAGTTCTTCCGAGGACATGGGAGCGATGTTCTTTGCGCTAGCCATAATTTATCGGAGTTGCAGGGTCGCCAGCTGTCCCATTAAGCCGGGGCTAGAATTTGGCTGGTCAGAATTTTCCCCGGATGCAAGAATAGCAGCCATAATGCTCTCCAATTCTGTGATGACAACAAATTTGGTGTGACGAGGGTGTGGAGGGATCTAAAGAAGAAAATAAATGGGACGGATAGTGGGGCTCGTGCGAGTGTTCTTCCATGAACACTACTAAATATGTCCGGGGTGGTCTGCGGGAACACGGATACTAAGACTCACTAAAAATTAACCCTACAAAGGATTTAACCTGGGCTGCAACTATTTATAAACACGTAATATGTTGGATATAACACTGAGAGGATTCAGCCCATGACAAAGGCCCCGCCATAGAATTAGTAATTACGGTGTGATATTACGCGGAATAGCTGTTTCATTTGATGCATTCAATTTTGAGGGGATGGATCTAATTTGTAGCTCCTACTTTCCTGCGCTCAGTTAACCAACTTCAATCCTAATCGGATACTCGGTTGTTGTTAGGCTTCGATGCTGATAGCTAGTCAATTATAACTCCCTCTTGCAGTACTTTGCTAGATCTGGTCTTTCATAACAGCGGCAAGGATATTTGCACGATACCTAGGTAGCCTTCGCTTTTAATACAAACCTTGACTAAGTGTGATGAATTTGGGCCGACTATGATATCTCATTACCATAGATAGCTTAGCTAATAACTGAATACTCCAGTCCATCACCATAACATAGCTTCATTTTCGTAAAAGATTCGAGGTGCAGAAAGAAGGACATATTCTTTGTTACCCCTTCCCTAAATCGACGTCAGCGAACAGCCGCAACACCCTAGTAGGTATTCGCGCCAGTCTGTTCAGCCGGCAGCTGATCAGCACCCCTTCTGAGTGCGGCACGTTATTAAAACATGCCTAGTTCTTGTGACGAAACAAAATCCTGTGTTCTGGGCTTAGAATAGAGATATTCTAGACCCGCCTTTTGTGGCTGAATACTCACGATTGATCTACAGAAGGCCATTTAGCGAGTGGTTGGGAAGAGAAACTTTGGTACTTAACTAAGATGCCAATTAGATGGGCCGTACGTCTGAGACTCGGACCCTCAGAAGTAGTGTCAAGTGGACGAAAATTTGAACCGGGCTCGACAGATATGAGACAACCTCATATCTTATTATTTTTTCCGAGGAAGTCGAGGATGGATGGTGTAGAAAATTGACAAGCTTCTGAGATTATAAGATGCCTGTTAAAACTTCTAGACCCATCGGCCCGGTGTCGCTATGGAGAGGACTTGAGTACTTATCACGAGGGATGGCCTCGAAGAGATTCAAAGGGGCTCAACCTAGATCCCAGTATTTGAAAGCAGCTTTGGAACCAGCGAGGTCAGGGCAGCATTTCGTGTATTATTCATATCACAAAATCCGACCAAACAAAATCTTTGGGAAATACCAATCAGAGATAGCGGTATGTGCGTTGAGAGTTTTCCGCTGAGCAATTCTGACATGATTTTCAATGAATCTCCACGTTTTGAGTAATCTCTATAGATGTTGGCCGCAACCTCAGCATCTACTGGTCATGCCGTAATATTTGATAGACTTCCAGTGTCTGAGGATACCTGCAGCTCTAGCCTAAGTAGCCCATGGTAATAAATGGCTGGTATTTCTGTAAATATTTAGTGGGTGACAGACCATTCCAACTTCTGTCGGGGTGTCCCGCGCTCCAATTGAGTTTCAAATCGTCTCTACAGCTGAGTTGTCGCACAAGGACACCCTGAGGTATAGAGAGGCATAATGGAGCCCGATGTTGTACTTCTCCTTATTGAGTGGGGGTCTGTGTGTCGATGAGACTGTGAGAAGGTCGGAGATTGACCGAATGGTGGCTGGCCCCAGGGTCATACATTTTCAGCTTAGTAAATCGCCAAATTGTCAAGGGGAATGTAGTTAAGACTGGGACTTGGTCGCCAGATATGTCGAGATGATTGGAGGAATAGAATTGCATACTGAAACAAGTAGCTAAGATTGATGGTCTAGCGGTATGTCTGCTATCTCGTTTCAGAATAATTACTTGGTAGTATTAGTCTAAGGCACTAGCTAAGCCAGCATCCGGCAGGTACACGCAGAGGATGTCAACAGCCGATGAATTAAAAAAGAAATTTCAATTCGTATACTTAAGAAAGCCTTCAAATTAACTCCTTTAAATCTACAACGTCATGACCGCATCCAGCGAAACATGTAACGGTACTTTTTGAGATTTTTTCAAAGACTCCCCCGTACGGATTTCCATGCAGAGGGCAAATGGTGCGGTCTCTAGTAGAATCAATTTATATCAACTCCCATAGATGCATGTCGTGGATGGGAAGACCAAAGTTAAGATAAATCTTCTCCTGCCAGAGATTAGGCAGGTTGATTTCTGGTCTTGTAGATAACTCTAACTGAGCCTAAAGATATTATTTCTCGTATTTATTATTCTGTCAAGTCTCCGACTACATACATGGAAATGAAAGTCCTTTCTGCCTACAGGCTGAGTGTATCTATGTCTCGGGTAGTGTACTCCCTCCTATGCCTCCTTCACGACTTCTCTCCGGCAGTAATACCCCACGCGTCTTCACTCGAGTACACACATAGAGGGGCTATTATCCCGTAATTATCTCTCCTCTCAAGCCAACAAAACGATGCTCGTTTGCGGGTGTGTATCTATAGGAAAAAGTCTTAATAGCCACTGGGTGTGGGGCTCTCCTATTACGAAGAGGCCGGCCAGTCGAACGCAACAGACCTGTGTCTACATAAGAGTGTCTCTCAACCGTCATTTCCTCCTCGTTGTTCATCCCCTGATTCATGCCACAGAAACAACCGAAGGTCGTGAAAGTGTATCAGAAAGGTCTTGGTCGAGAATGACTGCAAAAGAAGAAACCTAACCTGGCATCCAAAATTCGTTACGGACGTGGGATCGTCGGGTAACTTATGTTTTTCAGATGCTCTCCTGGCTGGTGGATTCGGAAGTAAAGGTTACAAGGGACGATCTAATTGACGATTCTTAATCTGATTTTACAGAGGGTGGAAGGATCTTTTACTTTGCTTTGGTGAGCTTTTTGTTTGCCCGACAGTGAATAGCACATGTTGTGGTAGGACAAAAGCTCCTCTGACTACCATTTTAGCGTTTGTTAACGCAATACTTTTCATAATTTCTAGCAGAGTTATCGTCGCCTTGATCGTCATGTGTGTTATTGGAAGTGTATCTTTAAGGTAGGGGTTTGTAATTTAGCTCAAAGCTGATAAGGTCTTACTTAATCTCGGCTCTGCAGCCTCTTTAGTAAGAGCTAGAGGCTCGTAGGGGACAACGCTGACATGTTTTGAGTTTTCGTCCCAAAGACAGCTGAACTTAAGGGGAATGCAAAACCAGCAGTAAAATTCATCATCATAGCTGGCAGGAGAGAGATGGTAAGGGCTCTAAGAATGTTATTCGTTTACCTCTTCATGCATGACGCTCTTGTCGCACCAAATCAGACCCTGCACAAATTTATAGACCCGGCAACAAAGCACTTAATAGTTCATTTCAAATATGCGGCATAGCACCAGTGCTTGTACGATTTTAATCAACTATTTGATATTATTTAGGTGGAAATCCAGTCAATCAAGTCCAACATTGAGATATGCTCCGTCGTTGCGGTGTAGGCTGGATGTTTTATGAGGATCTGAGACGTGTTCCCAATGTAGTATAGCGTGGAATAGGTCAGCCCCGATTTAATTAATCTACGAGACAGGTGCTGGTGACATCGGGATATTTCCGGGGCTAATTCTGCAAGTCGTCCGTTATGTGTCTCGCGCTTATCGTCGGATTCCTTCTTCCAGACAGACGAACTGGCCCTTCGTGATTGAGATATCTGTAGTCTCATCTACGTAATTCACAACACTCACAAAATTGCATTCCTTGCACAGTCATCTCAATGCAACATCCATGGATCAAGTCTGTGTCTCTTCTTCATTTAACGCCCTGGATCCTTTAGTCCCAGCATCATACGTGTGTCTAAGGTCCTTGGAGGATATAATACCCGCCGCGTATTTTCTACCCAGATATGCTGATCGTCGTCATTTCGAGGATGGCCACAATGTGTTTCGTTATCTCCCAGTAGGTGGATGGCATTGTTTTTCTGTAAGATTGACCTCGAGGAAGAGTAATTGGGGTCGATTAGGCGCCAAGTTTGAGGATAACTGCCACAAGTATTTCCCAAAAGCTTACACATTGAAAATGTTCGGAAATTAAATGTAATAGAAGCTCTTAATCTACGTAACTAAATTACCACAAAGCGTGGTAGATGGACATGGCCTCTCAGGCATGTGGCGCATTCTTGTGCTGACCGGTACCTCGGATAGCTCTCCGGGCTTGGTTGGCCGGTTCATTGAAAATTAGACATTGAGTATCTAGATGTACCGCCTACTCCCCCTACCACCACGCACAGCGAGTGTCTCATTTTGAACTGCACTGAGCCAGCTGTAATCCTTCTTGGTATATTTCTTCCGCGGAATGAAGTGCAAGGCGATCTTTCTCTGCTCGATAACCCCCAACAGTGTGGACTTAGTGGGGTGACAAGGTCCTGGATGTCTGAGGTACGATCCACTTTACAGGGATTGAATTCGTTGTTCCAGAATATTATGGAATTTCTGTCTTCAAGGAAGTAATTTGAAAATTCCACGTGTAGAAGCAACTGATCAATGCTCACGGCGTTATTAAGAGAGGACGAGAAACAGACAAATTATCCATGGCTTCCATTACAAAGATAGGAGT